CGGGACGGTGGGAGCCTACGCAGTGCCCGCCGCCACGAACGCCAGACTGCTCCAGGTCCCAGGGCGTCGTGGCTCAGGAGAGGACGTGGCAGACTGGGGGGCACTCGCAGTTTGGGGGTAGATAGGTCTGGTGCCTCGGCTTCTGCACATACACAGGGCAGACGGGTATCTCCACCCCACCCCACCTAACCACGGCCCTAACCTGGTCCCCAACAGCCCCACATCCCCTGGGGGCGGGGGGGCTGTCGAAACCCAAGTTCTGTTGTTTCCAACCAGAGGCCTGCGATGGGGCAGCAGAGAAGCCGCAGGAAGTGGCCTGGCTCCGGGCCCAGGGTCACATCCTCAGGCGGTTGCGTCTCAGTGGGACCCCTGCCCCCGGCACAAGCCAGGATCTTGCTCCTCTGAGCTCCCCTGGGACACGGGGACCCCGAAAGGGAAATGAACCCCAGAGGGACGGGGACCCTCGCTGGGCTGGCTGCCTGGGGAAGCACAGGACTGTGCGCCTGCGGCCTGGACACGGCCTGGCCTCTCCCCGTCGGGGCCCGGGGACACCCTAGTGCAGCCCCTGCCGGCCTCCGTGGCCGCCCAGCCCTCCTCCCTCTCCCTGGACGGCCTGTCCCCGCTTGAGGGACGGAGCGTAAGCTGTTTTCCTGAGTGACCGGCGCCATCCTTGACGTCCTCTTACTCTGGTGGCACAACCCGGCTCCACGGCTGCACGTCCAACAGCCCCGCCCCTGCCACGCACCTGCCAGGACATCAGGGTGTGGGTCTGACAGTGGGGTGCCCTTACCCACTGCCCACTAAAGAAGTTGGGGGTGCCCAGGCCCGACTCCCCTCGGCAGGCCGGGCACCAGACGGTGGACTAGGCTCGCCACGCACTGTCAGCGACCCCGTGCCGCTCCGTCCCTGGTGAATGGAGCTCATTCATGCCACGGCCCCGCCTCCCGGCCCCGCCTCCCCCGGGAGAGCTGGCTTCCTCTCCGTGGCAAGCACACAGCCTTCCCCCAGCGGCAACAGAACCAGCCTCGTTCTG